TGTCTTTTGTCAGACTAATAAACAGGCATTCTAATTCTCCAGATCTCCCTCTCTCCCTTCCTCCCCCCTTGCTGTGTGTATGGTGTGCCAGTACTAAGGCTTAAACTCAGGTATCATGCTCTCACTTGACTTTCTCATTCAAGGCTTGTACTCTACCACTTGAGTCACAGCCCCACTTCTGGCATTTTGCTGGTTAATTGGAAATAGGAGTTTCATGATTTTTGTGCCCAGGCTGTCTTCAAATCAAGATCCTCAGTTCTTAGCCTCCTGAGTCACTAAGATTATGTATTTGAACCACCAATACCTTACACCTCTCCAGATCTTAAGACCTACTATCCCTTGAGGGTTTTTCTTCCCCTTCTCATACCTATTAAATTATATGACATGGCACTCCTGGAGTCTACCAAATATATCTTGTCATCTACTTCTTTTTTTCCACTGCTGTTTACAGCTGACTTTGTATTTCTCTTAGCCTTTTGTACAATGTTCCATTTAATTACTAGAAGATATCAAGAAGGAAAGGGAGGGGTAATATTACAAACCTCTGCCAATAACCTTGGCTGGTATATTCTGTATGTGGCATCTCATGCCTCTGCAAACCTCCTAGTTAGACAGGATCCATAATTTTAAAAATAAGAAAATGGGACCCCAGCAAAGTTAGTTATCATCACAAAATATAAATAGTAAGTCCAGATTAAAATCTGTTTAAATCTAGACTTTATTCCCCCTCATGAAGTCTCTCTAGGCAAGGTGAGTATCCATAGTCTAATAATAGCATTGCATTTTATAACAAAATTCTTAAACTTTATTATTTCTATCGCCAAAATACTTTAATGCTGGGTATGGTAGCTCATGCCTATAATCTCAGCTACTGCAGTGGCAAAATATTGTGTTTCAAGGCCAGCTTGGACAAAAAAATTAGGAAATTCCATCTTAACCAATTAGAAAAAAAAAGGGATGTGTTGGTACTCACCTGGTCATCCCAGCTACTCTGGAAGTGTAAATAGGAAGATAACCATCCAGGTGTGCCCAAGCACAAAAGCTAGACTCTATTTTAAAAACTAGGCTGGAGGCATGGCTCAAGTGGTAGATTACCTGCCTAGCAGATAGAAGGCCCTGAGTTCAAATCCAATGCTGCTCTAAAAAAAGATGCATTTATTAAGCCTTATACGCAAAAAAATCAAAGACTAATTTACAAATGCTTTTGCCTTATATCTAAATCAAAAGCTAAGACCATTTATTAGCACATTCACTTTATGAACTAATGTATTAAATCCTACTATTACCCGGTGTTTTGCTAATGCTTAGAATACAGTGGTTGTAAGCCCTCTGATCACATTACATTTTTCTGGGGGACTTTTATAACATATCAACATCTGGTCGTGACAGCAGAAATTTGGATTCTGTAGGCTGAACCTGGGCAGTGTGTTTTCTAAAGCTCTCTCAGGTACAGTCAGCTGGGAGACTCCCTTGATATAGAATAGTGCTTCTTCAGTGTTGTCTAATCACACCAGTATCACCTGGGAACTTGTTACACAGGTAATTTCTCAGTCCTGGCCTCACCTTTTCCACCCTCATAGTGGAAGTGGCAGGTGTGGTCAGAAAGTCTCTGCTTACCAAGCTATTTAGATGTGCCCGGTGCAAGCTAAAGGTACAGAAGTATTTCTGTAGAGACAGAAGATGGATGAGGTATAACACTCACTGCTAAGCATTTCTACTGGGTCTCCAAGAATTCTAGAATGCTTCAAATTTACATTTTAATGACCTAGCACAGCTCCATAACCTGTAACTTTTTCAAGTATTATCACTGCTTTAAAAAAGAAATGGAGAGTGTAGTTGTGGAGGTGGGAGGGAAGGGATTGTACAGGAAAAACAAAGGAGGAGGTAACAATGCTTGACAGGAAATGTACTCATGACCTTGCTCATGTAACTGATGTAACTGTAACCCCTCTGTACAGTATTTTTACAATAAAAAGTATAAAAATAAAAAAGAAATGTCTAGGTCAAAGGGGGGTGAGGTTGGGAAGGGAGTGACACAGGTCAAGATGAACCGTATTCACATACTGCTTTGTTAAATGATACCTGTCTTTTACATCTATCTCAGAGATCATTTTTAAAGGGGGGAGTAACAAAGAATAGGAAGATGACAGGCAAGGATGGACAGTATCACCAACCACCTCACATGCTTTCTGACCAAGACAGACTTACCAGAATGATCTTTACTTTTACTTTTTCTTCTTTTTTAAGTTCATATGAGAGAGTGACACTGTTCAAGTTGCATTGTACAATAAACTGATGTGCTTAATTGAAACTCGTTTGTATGACTACTTAAAGATTTTTTTAAATTATATAAAAAATGAAATGGCTAAATCCTCAAAGAAACAACTGCCCAATAAATAAGTGGGCTAAAGACTTAAAGAGAAACTTCTCTGAAGAAGAAAGAAGGATGGCCAATAGACACATGAAGAAATGTTCAACATCCCTAGCCATAAAAGAAATGCAAATCAAAACAACATTGAGATATCACCTCACCCCAGTTAGAACGGCAAAAATCAAGAACTCTAACAACAACAGATGCTGGAGGGGATGTGGACAGAAGGGAACCTTACTTCATTGTTGGTGGGAATGTAAACTTGTTCAACCACTTTGGAAAGCAGTATGGAGGTTCCTCAAAAGACTTCACATAGAACTCCCCTATGACTCAGCAATCCCACTTTTGGGCATTTACCCAAATGTTTACAAACAAGACCACACTAAAGCTACCAGCACAACAATGTTTATTGCAGCATTATTTACCATAGCTAAGATCTGGAACCAACCCAGATGCCCCTCAGTAGATGAATGGATCAAGAAAATGTGGTATATATACACAATGGAATTCTATGCCTCCATCAGAAAGAATGACATTGCCCCATTTGTTAGGAAATGGAAAAACTTGGAAAAAATTATATTAAGTGAAGTAAGCCAGGCCCAAAGAAACATAGGTCCCATGGTTTCCCTTATTTGCAATATCTAGTATATGTATGAGTCAAGCAGAAAAGGTCAGATAATATGATGTCAGGAAAATGAACCCTTAGCTATGTATTTTAATGTTTTTTTTCTTTCATGCATGTGTTTCTAACGCATTTATAAGATTATCTCCTTGTGGCTTTGTATGTCCCTCCCCCACAGTATAATCCCTGCTTTCACTATATCTGATGTCAGTATAACTTGTGGAGGAGATGAGGAAAAACCAGTTGTTTAAGGATACAGGTGGACCTGTTGCAACAATGAGAAGTACAAGTTGTCATGTCCAAAACGAGCTTTACAACGTCAGTGCGGGGGGGGGAAGGGGGGGAAGGAGAAGGATTGGGATTGGGGGGGAGGAGGGAGGCTGGGAAGGGATGTGAAGGGTAAACCAAAGGAGGAGGCTGCAATGCTTGGTAAGAAATGTACGCATTATCCTGCCCATGTAATTGTAACCCCTCTGTACAGTATGTTCACAAATAAAATTAAATTAAATTAAAAAAAATGAAATGGCTATCTGTGCCTGGCAGCTATTAAATGAAAAAATGTATGGATATATATTATATATGGATATATAGTGTATATTATTCACAAACCACTACTTTCTAATAAAAATAAGAAAGTGGCTTGTGAATAATATCCACTATAAAGGTGGCATGAACCTTACATATATATTACATGCAGAGAGGAAGAGAACTATAAAATACTGTAATTTTAAGATATAACAGGTTAATAGGTAAACATTTCTGCTGAAGGGTCTTAAAGTGTTCTCTGTGTTGTGTTTCTTTTCTAAGTAATGCCATTGTTTTTGATAATACATTCCCTATGCTTCCATCTCTATGAATATAGATTTTTCAAAATAAATATATGATGGTATAACTAATATCCAATAAACTAGTCGTATTTGAAACATTTATTTAAATAAAAATTGGACATGTTTGCATATGGGTATCATGCAACTGTTTTAATGGTTATCCAGTTCTATCATGGTATCTATTACTATAGTAGTACCTAGTGCTATCTATTACAGTATCTTTTATAAGCCCCTTCCCCCCACACCTTACATTCACTCTAAATGAGAATGAGGTTACAGAAAGGATCCCTGAATGATTAGGTAACACTTATAAGGTAACTAGATATCAGTCCAAATCAACAAAATGGAGAAGGGCTTTACAGAATGGAAATAGAGCCTTTCTTACCTATTTGAAGGCTATTGATGACATTGATATTTAACATGGAGGGTTTTTTTTTTTGGTCGTGGGGCTTGAACTCTGGGCCTGGGCCCTGTCCCTCAGCTCTTCAGCTCAAAGCAAGTGCTCTACCCCTTGAACTACAGCACCATTTCCCATTTTCTGGTGGTTAATTGGAGATGAGTCTCACAGACTTTCCTGCTTGGGCTGGATTCAAACCCTAATCCTCATATCTCAGCCTCCTGAGTAGCTGAGGCTTACAGGAGTGAGCCACCAGTACCCAGGTATCATGTAGGGTTTTTAAATGCCTATTAGACTGGGATTGTAGCCTACTGGTAGGACACTTGCCAGACATCAGCAAGGCCCTGGATTCTATCCCTAACATTGCAAGAGATAACATGAAAATACCACCCAACTGTTGTGTTTCTTAAAATGTCAATGGAGACTAGTTTAATGGGCCTAGTGTGTATTTCACTCCCAGTGACTGAAAGCAGCAAGCATCCCTGTTTCAATGTCTTCCATTGACTCCTCATGTTGGGGTGATCACAAATTGCTTTAACCACCAATCCACTCTCAAAGGCTTACTTGGCTCTTCTGTGTAATACTGAAGACAGCCTGCCTAAGAGTGATGTTTTTGTGTTCATAGCAATAATAGAGAGTACCTGGCTTTTGATTTCTTTTGAACTCTCTTCCTTCTTTCCCTTGAAGAAATTATGACATCTGTAAATGTTCCTTTATCATTACCCACGTGTGCTAATTCTGGACATTAACTGTTCTAATGTTGCAATCTTTCCTCCATTTCAGGTTGGCTCCATGAGTTGGGAAAGAGACTGGAGTCTCCATACTATGGGAACAACACCCTGGGTGGCCCCTCCATCCGCAGCGCCTACATTGCTGCCCTGTACTTCACCCTGAGCAGCCTCACCAGTGTTGGCTTTGGGAACGTCTCCGCCAACACAGATGCCGAGAAGATCTTCTCCATATGCACCATGCTCATTGGTGGTAAGGGAACGTCTTTCATACCTAGGAAAGGAACTGGAGGCTTCCAAACTTGCTGTTCTGTGTGCTCTGCCCTAAAACACAATGGAGCCAAATTGGTTGACATGGGAAGTCTCTAAAAGCACTAAATAGGAAACCAGTGACAAGCATTTTAATGTGCGTATAGATTAGCAATGAAAGCCCTGGATGTTAATGAGTTCCATATCTTTTTCTGGGAAGATGAATAAACACCTGATGGTTGATTTTCAAAGGGCAAGCCCTTTGTTTCTTTAACATAGTGTTTACCTCCTGTGATTGTGAGTTACCTCTGTTTGAATTGCAAGGATATATTTAAAACTGTATTTTAGAGTCCCAAATAGGTAAGCATTATCAAGTTTTATTAATAGTAGTGTAGTAAGTTGAGGATATTCAGTATATCATTTGGTTAAAAGTCAAAGTAAAATTAAAGACTAAAAACTCCAGTGAATTATAAATAATAATTATGAATTCATTTTATACTCTATTCTCTATACTAAGTGATTTAACCCAATACCATAATAATTCTGTGTGTGAGAGAGATAGAGACAGAGTCAGAGATAGAGAAAGAGAGTGTATATGTACTGTGATTTGAACACAGGGCCTCATGTTTTTAATTAGCCTTTTCACTCAAGACTGGTATGCTACCACTTGAGCCACAGGGCCACTCTCAGATTTTTGCTGGTTAACTGAAGATAAGAGTTTCATGAGCTTTGCTGGTGCTGGCTTTGTTTTGAACAGTGATCCTCATATCTCAGCCTCCTACCTAGGATTACAGGAGTAATCAGTACTCAATTCAACAAGCAATTCTGAATGCAAGTTTATGAACCTGATATTATTATTGTCCCATTTAACAAACAGGTTATGGTGACTTTTCTCTGAGCTCTAAACCTACTCTTCTATACTTACTTTGAAATGTTGGTATTTGACTCTACAAACCGTTCTTCTTTGCTAGCTGACTTTACTTACTTCTGCCAGTAGGTGGCACCAGAGGAAGATTGGCAGGAAAGAAAAAAGGGGAAAAATGGCAAGCTTCGAGGGCCCGCCCTTCATCCTGAGAGATCTTTTCCTCTCTTTGGGAGTACCAATGCCAATGTCTAAACTGGCTTCTCGAGGGTTCTCACACCTCTTCCTCTGGGCACCTATGTCTGATGTCCACACTTAAGGAGAGCACTTTCTTAGTTATTATGTCCATTTTACGTCTGTGTTCCCTTTGTGCTCATCAGCCCTCCAACACATCAGAGAAATGCATTCTCTATAAAAATCCCCTCTGTTGAACCTTCTAACTGATACAGAATTGAAAATATTGTTACCTATAATGTTTTTAAATGACTCATCTCAAGCTTGAGAGATGAAAGAAATGATTCCAAAACCATTTGGCCTATAAGTAAACGTGTCAGAATTTGAACTCAAGGTATAGAGGGCATCTACTGAATTTCAAGACTACCATCTTAAAGTAGGAGTCGATGTGGACATCTGCCTGGATTGAATAAACATTTTTCTAATAGACCAGAGTTCTATTAGTATTTTATGCCCTCACGATTCCTATTCCCTAAGGCTATCCCCCCAGATGCTCTTAGTGGCCTAAATCCAAGACACTACTTGGAGTTTTGAACCTTATAATAAGGGATGGCTTGTATAGTGGGAGCCGCGTGTAGGACTTAAGCAATGTGTCCTCTGGCCCCCATTGAGACATCAAAGTATAAAAACAAACATTCCCTCAAGAAGCTTACAAATGCTAAGATGATTTCTTTGTTGCTTTGTATGTCCCTCCCCCACAGTATAACCCCTGCTTTCACTGTATTTGATGTTGGTATAATTTGTGGAGAGGAAGGGAAAAAAAAACCAAATCGTTTAACTAGGGATACAGGTGGACCCATTGCAACTATGAGATGTACAAGTCATTATGTCAAAAATGAACTTTACAACTTTGGTGGTATGGGGGGGGATTGGTGGGGGGGTGAGGGGAGGATGGGAAGGGATGGGAAGGGGAAACAAAGAGGAGGCAACAATGCTTGATAAGAAATGTATTCGTTATCTTGCCCATGTAATTGTAACCCCTCTGTACAGTATTCTCACAATAAAAAAAAAGAAGCTTATAAATGGTAGATGAACGTTAAGAAGTAGTGAAAGAAAGGAGTGCCAGGACCCAGACAATTTCTTGGAAAGGCAGAGCTGCAACACAGTTGCTAAAGTAGCAAGCTGGGATTGTAGCAATTTTAACAGGCTCTTGGCTGATGCTGAGCTAGCAGTAAGAGTCCAAAGAGCTGAGAACAGGAACTCTTGTTTTCTGAAGAGCTATAATGTGCCAGACCCTGTGATGGCTGTTTCATATCCAATATTATGACTTACATAATTTCCACTCTCCTGAAGGGCCTGTATTTTGCAAATAAATGCAATCTATACTCATTTAATATTTGCCCATGTTTTTTTTTCCTACTCCTGATAGAAATTTGGCGAAATGCTCAAATTGCTTCAAATAGGCATAAGCCCAGCAATTTGGTATTTGAGCAATCTGTTAGATAATTGAGATTTTTCTCTATTGATCCAGCTACCCTAGTGAGTGGTGAGTGGACCTTGATCAGGAAGTGTTAAAGCAGACTGTTTCCTGACCATCATGATGGGAAGGGCTATTCTGGTCATGTCTGGTGAGACCTGATCTGGTAATGTCTCTTTGCCAGTTCTTTGTTCAGTATTTATGGAACAAATTTCCTGCTGCAATGTAAGTGTTCATTTGTTGATGGCGTGGACTCTTTAGGTGGTTTGAGCAGTGCTTAGAAAATACTTGCTTTTGAAGGCCAAATGGCATCTTAGTAACTTGAATTTATTAAGGCTTTCTAAAATTTGTGTTTATAAGAGAATTAATTCTGTATTATTTTGAAACATTAACCAAGGCCAGGAGAAATGCTGCCTGCAACTTAATATTAATAACACTGAGAAGTAATTATAAAAACTCACAATATTGAGCACTTTGCTTATTTAATTTTAATAACACTATAAGACAGAGATACTAATATACCAAGGTAAATGTGTCGAGAAGCAGAGGAAGACTGAGTTTAAAAGATAAGACTCGTTGAGCATCGGTGGCTCACACCTGTAATCATAGCTATTCAGGAGGCTGAGAGCTGATGATCGCAGTTCAAAGACAACCCAGACAGAAAAATCCATGAGACTTTTATCTTCAGTTAACCACCAGAAAACCAAAAGTAAGTGGTGCTATGACTCAAGTAGTAGAGTGCCTGCCTTGAGCGAAGAGTTCAGGAACAGTGTTCAGGCCCAGAGTTCAAGCCCCACAACCAATAAAAGAAAAAAAAAGACTCTCTAAGACCTGGCAAAATTCTTGCAAATCCAATTTGTTATATGTTAGCAATATGTGTATGTGTATATGTGTCTGTGTCTGTATGTGTGTGGCCAATACTGGGGCCTCCTACTTGTACTTGGCATTTTTGCTCAAGGCTGGCACTCACTCACTTCAGCTACATATCCACTTCCAATTTTCTTCTGGTAAATTGGAAATCAGAGTCTCACAGTCTGTTCTGTCCAGGCTGGCTTTCAACTGTAATCTTCTAATCTCAGTCTTCTGAGCTGACATCACTTCTAAATAAGCTAGATCCTGAGCCAGGATTACAAACATGAGCTACCAGTGTCTAGCTCACAATTTTGTTTATAAAGGGACTTGTGTGTGTGTGTGTGTGTGTGTGTGTGTGTGTGTGTGTGTGTGTGTGTCCATTGTGGGGCTTGAATTCAGGGCCTAGGTGCTGTTCCTGAGCCTCTTTGTGGTAAAGGCTAGTGCTCTACGCTCTACTACTTGAGCCACAGTACCATTTTCATTTTTTGTGTGGTTAATTGGAGATAAGAGTCTCACAGACTTTCCTGCTTGGAGTGGCTTCAAACCAGGATCCACAGATGTCAGCCTCCTGGGTAGCTAAGATTACAGGCATGAGCCACCAGCGCCTGGCTATAAAGGGACATCTTTTGTTCTTTTTTTTTTTTTGCCAGTCCTGGGGCTTGAACTCAAGGCCTGGGCACTGCCCCTGGGCTTTTTTTGCACAAGGCTAGCACTCTACCACTTGAGCCATAGCATCACTTCCAGCTTTTTCTGTTTTTGTGGTACTGGGGAATCAAACCCAGGGCTTCACGCATGCAAGACAAGCACTCTACCACTAAGCCACATCCAAGCCCTAAAGGGACATTTTTAAGGCTAGGGAATCTTATTAGAAATTCTCACATAGGGATGATGAAGGTTCCATTGGTAGAGATGCAGTAGTGGACATCAGTATTAAAAGAGAACAGGACTGCTAAAACCCTAGATAATTACCTAGGGCAAAGACACAAAAAAGTCTGTGAAGATAAATATGTAGAAACACACTGAGTGGACCAATCCGGGAGTACTCTAGAACATACTCTCCCTCCAAGTTTCCTTAGAGATTATACCGGATTTATTTTTTATTTATTAAAAATCCATTTTAGGATGCTATAGAGCTTCCATATAAATACCTGTAATGAGTATCAATATTTCATTGGTCCATTCTTTGTCCTGCTGTTTCTGTGATTCCTTTTCACTTCCACTTATCAATTAATGTTATATATAAGACACAAGGTTCATAAAACTAAGAGAAATGAAAAAGACAACAAAAAACTACATACAGGACATAATAAGAACCCCTTGTTCCATATCTTGGAATTCATGTTGATAAGCTTCATTATAGTCCTAGGCAATAAGTAATTGGTATACCTCTATTTCTGATCCAACAGTTCCACTTCTGAGTTTATAATCAATGGAAACGCAAATTTATATATGTTAAAAAGTGTATATATAAATGCTTATAGAAGAATTATTTTAAGAATACCAAACAGGAAATGTCCAGTTAATAGAAGTATGTAATCAGTTAAAGAATGCCCATTAAGCTGGACACTGGTGGCTCACGCCTGTAATCTAGTTACTCAGAAGGCTGAGATCTGAGGATCATGGTTCTAAGTCTGTGAAA